AGCAGCAGGCGGGGAACGTTGGAGTCCTCCGTCACTGAAGCAAGCAAGCCTCATGTTCGCTTTAAGCTACCTGGCTGCCGGCCGCCATCTTGGCTGGCAGTTAATTTGCATATTGCCCTGATTAGCCAATGGGAAGGGTAGCGGAGGTATGGCTAATTACCATGTTTTTCTTTTATTAGATAGGTTTCCTCTTACCTACTTTAAAATTACTTTCTATAAAACCACAATTACAAAATAAAATTTTACTAACTCAAGAAAAAGAATAATTACCAAACCCATATCATCAGCTAAAATTCCTCCATGGACATTTTCTGGTCGATTCTTCTCAGAAAAATTTGTTATTGTGTTATAGTATAAGTCACTTCGCTGTTCCCAGAATGGTGGAAGTTCTTTACTGTTTTCCCGGGAAATCATCCAAGCTAGAGCTTGTTTTTGATGTGGGAGCAATGATGTTTCAATAGCCTATAAATAAAAGAAATGTCATAAATAGAGGTACAATAAGCGCTTTCATCCCCTCCTCCTCCCGAATCTGGAAAACAGCTAATCTTGTAATAAAAAATGTATAAATTGATCAAATATTTATAAATTGAAAATATTGGTTCAGTACCTTAGCTGGTTCCATTTCATGAGTTTTATCATCTTCTTTTAGATCTTCAAACAATTTGTCAAATTCTGTTTTAAGCTACAACAAATAGCAATAAGATACGTGAAACAAAACAATTAAAATACTATAAAAGTTGAATAACAAAAGGTACATCAATTATTTGAAATACTACACTGCTCAGTGAATACAGAATGAATAAGTGATTTAGGTATAAAAGGTAACTATGTTACAGTCAGAAGAATAGAGTTGTAAATCTTGGGTTTCAGTAATAGCTCTGTCACAAATAAACCTATAAATAACTTTGGGCAACACACTTAACCTTTATGGCCCTGTATCTTATTCCTGTAAAATCAAAGAAATGAACTAGATTTAGAATGTCTCTAAGGTTCCTCTTGCCATTGAAATTCTATGATTATACTAGAGCAGTGATGGCGAACCTATGACACGCATGTCAGAGGTGACACACAAACTCATTTTTTGGTTGATTTTTCTTTGTTAAATGGCATTTAAATATATAAAACAAATATCAAAAATATAAATCTTTGTTTTTACTATGGTTGCAAAGATCAAAAAATTTCTATATGTGACACGGCACCAGAGTTAAGTTAGGGTTTTTCAAAATGCTGACACGCCAAGCTCAAAAGGTTTGCCATCACTGTACTAGAGGCCCAGTGCACAAAATTTGTGCACTTGGCGGGGGGGGGGGGGGGTCCCCCCAGCTTGGCCTGTTACCTTTCTAAGTGCTGGAGTCCTCAGGGGATGTCTGGCTGCTGGCTTAGCGCTGCCACGGAGGCGGGAGAGCCTCCTGCTACCACCACTGTGCTTGCCAGCCATGAGCATGGCTCAGAGCTTCTGGCTGAGCAGTGCTTACCCTGTGGGAGCACACTGACCACCAGGGGGCAGCTCCTGCGTTGACCATCTGACCCTGGTGGTCAATGCACATCATAGCAACCAGTCATTCCACCATTTGGTCAATTTGCATATTAGCCTTTTATTATATAGGACTAGAGGCCCAGTCCACGAAATTTGTGCAGGGGGGGAGTCCCTCA